TGAGGTGAATAGAGCGTAACCTAACAGTAATGAATAGTTGTTGGAAATTCTTAATAGTTGAAATAGCATATTTTTCGCTATTATATAATCATTAAAAAAGGTGCTTACTTGAGGTGAATAGAGCGTAACTTAACAGTCATGAATAGTTATTGGAAATTCTTAATAGTTAAAATAGCATATTTTTCGCTATTATATAATCATTAAAAAAGGTGTTTACTTGAGGTGAATAGAGCGCAACCTATCAGTCATGAATAGTTGTTGGAAATTCTTAATAGTTAAAATAGCATATTTTTCGCTAATATATAATCATTAAAAAAGGTGCTTACTTGAGGTGAATAGAGCGTAACCTAACAGTCATAAATAGTTGTTGTAATTTCTCAATAGTTAAAATAGCATATTTTTTCAGTGTTCCATTATAATCATAAAAGGTGCTTGTTAGAGATGAACATAACATAAACCCATGATCTAATCTGTGGATATTTTCAGCACTGTGATCGGTGCAAGTTGGGTGCGAAGTTCGTATCGACCAGCCATCTGTGGGATTTGAACTCGGTTCACTCACTCTATCCCTGAGCCACCACGACTCCGGAAATCAAATTGTAAAAATTTGAATTAGTAAGGCTTACTTTATTAGAACCATCAGAATATACTATCAAACTACATTGGTTCTGGATGAATTTTTTTTCTAAAAACCATCGAAAAATACCACCAAATCATGGTGGTTTTGTTGAAGTTGGTCCAACATAAAGTAGTTCCAATTCCTAATATGAGGTGATGGTCAGTCTTCATGGTCAGTCATCATAAAAGTAAGATGGTTTTTGATGGAAACTCATGATGGTTACCATCTTATTCATGTTTGTCAATCAAAGAAAAATCAATACAAATTTTGAAATAAGCCGAGATTATATAAACCGGATTTTTATAGGCTACACGCAATATTTAATTTATTACTTTTACGTGCAGACCCATGAAAAGTAGTTGTTTTTCCTCAAATTTTTTAAAATTACTTTATCTTCATATGATGTTTGAGTAAAATATAATTTAATAAAGTGCATAGAATTTCAATCAAAATTTAAATTATTTAAAACTTTATAAAAAATTAGATAAGTAAAAGTTTTTTTAATTTTTTCTTTGTCAAATTTTTTTATAATTTGAATAGATATTTTTATCTTCATATAAATAACCTTTTTTTTATATAAAACTTCTATTAGCTCAATAAAATCTTGAGATATTTGCGATGGATAATTGATGGGTAAATAAGTGTCGGTGAACAATTGCATTCATAATTTAAATTACTTTCCGGCTAGTTAGAGCATTAAAAACAGTACCGAAATCCCGTAATCCATGTCAATGCAATATTCAATCATTTTATTCTGTTGCCGGCAGAACTTATCACCCTATTACTGTAAAAAAATATCACCAGTAAGATTGTTTTGACCACTTTAGACTGGAGTACTCAACTTTTATCTGAAGTTCTAAACTCTGTATTACAATGTCATTTGCATTTATATTACGACAACTACAAGAAAAATTTATGGAGATATTATTGAAAAGAAAACTTATCATCCGTCCAATATAATTTTCGACGATTTTCTGATTATGCTCAAATTATACGCCCCCCCCCATTCTTGTCAGCAATTCAAGTTTCAATCTTTCTAACAAACGGAAGTTATCTGAATATCATACCTACCTTGTAGAGACGGTGCCTTGTCTAAATTTGATTTCTATCGAACTATGATGGAAATATCTGATGATTCAACATAAACAAACCATCGGAACAAGTTGCTATTCTTATGATGGACCATCGTAAATCAGTCCGAATTTCTACATTGGGGTGATAGTTACTTTTGTTGGCTACTATAGAGATTATGTTGGTCTATCAATGGAAAACCATAAAACATTTTGACTTGGATGTGTATAATACAATGCGCATTTCCGCTGCATATACAATTTAAACTGCTGTTTTATCGCAGTAAAATATTGTGAAGACTTATCGGAAAATTTATAAATTTTATAAATGGAGAATGAGGAATTTGGTTCTACCCGATATTTGCCACTTAAGCGAACTCCTCAAATAATATTTTTTTCACAAACAAACAGAAACGAACGAGACGCAACAAATATATTCATGTTTTGTAAAATTATAGTTTTCTTTCCTTTCCAGAATTAAGTTTTTTGAAAACAAAAAACAAAAATTATGCGGAATAAAAGCAAAAGAAACTATTCGTTTAACAGAAAGAAAAGGAAAACAAGATAAAAACCGCAATGGAAATTTTTTTTTTTAGTAAAGCATGCTTAAAGAACAATGCGGTTTCCATAGAAAAAAGATTGAAAATGAATGTGTGTATTGTTATTAATTCCAAAAAATGTGAAATAAAATTAAAAAAATTGTAGTATCAAAAAAATTATAATACATTTTATTTTGATCAAAAAGATATTTCAATAGTAATAATGTTCCTTTTCCAGATTTTTCTTTCCAGAAGTTCAAAACAAAGAATAGAGAAATAGAGCTCCTCATGAAACGAATATTCTATTGTTTTTAACAAAACCTACCTATTCAATCAATCCACAATGTATTTTGATCACGTTTTATTGTTTAAACAGCTAATTTTTACATATTTAAAGCCGATTCAGTTGACTTGAGTTTTGATAGCTGAGTATCGAACTTAAAATAAGGCAGAAAATGATCATGGTTGTTAAGATGCTAATTAATTTAATATTAACTATTGTTCTTTTGACTAAAGTAAATGGTTTAAAAATGCCTTCAAGTTCAAACGACATAGGGGAGGGAGATCACTTTCAACCTTGTCAAATATGGATTAAATGCGGAACAAAGGGTGAGAATATTTTTGTGTTTAAATCTTAAACCCAATTATTATTGCACCTTTAATTATAGCTGTATTTAATCATAATCGGTAATTATTGCAGTTTTTCAGTATAAAGAATTTGCAGGAAAAAAAATACTATTTTCCTACGTTACTATTCATTAAGAAGTATATATGTATGTTACTGTTAATGTATATAATGCAGTTATTTCATAGAATACCTAGTTATTCCATGAAATAACTGATCGTGTCCGTTAAAGTGTGTAATATGTTATTAATTTGACACTTTAACTAGTTATTCTATGAAATAACTAGAATATTCTATAAATTAACTAATGAGAGACAGTTAAAGTGTAAAATAAACAATTTATCTAAAATGAAATAACTAGGTATTCTATAAATAAACTAATGATAGACAATTAAAATAAAAAAGAAGTAATTTATATAATTTATGCAGCGTATAAATGTTATTTATGGAAACGTACCATAAAATCATTTGTTACAACAAGGATTACTAAAATGACACTTGGAATTACAAAGAACATTCTTTCTGAAACAAAAAAATTTTTTGTTGACACTCTGGGTTTTACACGAACATTTTTTAAATCTCTGACCAGTACCTAAACTTTGAGCTGTAGCAACCGACCGGAGTGATATTTCTACATCCGGTACTTCTTCGATTTTAATTAATTTTTGTTCGCAGACACTGAACTGGGATCGGGAATATAATTGTTTTATGCGGCCGTTTCTTGTGCCCAATTGGAAAAATCCTTGTCCCGCAGTGGACTGATCGTTAAGGCACGGTTCCCAGCAGATCACCGAAGTCAAGCATCACTGGCTGCGGTCAGTGTGCGGGTGGGTGACCACTTGGATCAGTCTGCGTAGGGACCGAGGGTGTGCGGTATTGGTCCTCGTTAAACTGTGCTACCGTAAAGTGCTCGACTTCGCGCGCAGGTCGTCGGGCTACCGAAGCGGAGGTGCCATCCCCTCCGCAGAGGATCAAAATTGTGATGGCATGTCTTCGGATCATCCTCCGGGATGTTTCCCAGACCGTCGCCAATAGCCCATTGTGCAGCTCTAGTGCGACGTAAATTAACAGCAACAGCAACAACAACAAATCCTTCTTCGGTTATTTTTATGATGATAGCTAAAATAGATTTGGCATCACCTTTTCCTTTGTCAACTTCAGGCACTGGGATACGGATGGTAAACCCCACAGAGGCTTCAGAATGAGATTTATCCGGCATTAATTTAATCTTTTTCGCTTGAATTTCTAAACATTTCTTAGACTTTTCTCTTTCTCTTTGAACATTAAGTTCATTAAAACGCAATTTCTCCCTATGGCCTGGAATAGTTCATAAATGCAGTAGGGGTGGAAGGTAAATTTATTTGTCGTGCGAGATATATGATATAGATTATTTTACACTTTAACGGGCTGCAGATCGTTATTCTATGAAATAACTAGTTAAACCATGAAATACAAGAGAGTTTTACACTTTAACGGACACGATAAATTATTTTATGGAATAACTAGGTATTCTATAAAATAATGGATTTCATACTTTAACGGTAACATATACATAGATTTAATAAATATTCCTCCCTTTATAACTTTTAACAAGTTAAATGTTTCTAAATTTTTCCCGAAATTTCCTAATTTAATGATCAAAATGCAGTAGGATTATATTCGGTTACACATTTCTGTTCTTCTTTTCTCATGTGTTCTCAAGCTAGTGAATACAAATTTGACCCAAACACTAAAGTGCTCCCTTGTTGGTTCGCCAACTGCTTTCATCCTCTTTGTCTTCCTAGGTGAAACGTCTTGTTTTTCATACAAAGACTGATTGTTTTTATAAGGCACAAATTAGGCTCAGGGGATAAAGCGTTCGCCTTTCAATGAGGTGAACCAGGTTCAAATCCCATCGATGGCTCGACGATAGCAATTCCGTACCCGGCTCACCGACCATAGTCCATCGTTAAAAATCCTCAGTGGAACATGGGTAACGGGTAAGTGTTACGCAAATGCGGATTAGTTCCATCAATAAGTTCTCCGTGAAGACAAATTTCTCCCATTACTTGATCCAGGAGTTCCCTTGTCTTCCGGATTGAATTCAATATTACAAGACTACAGAGTTAGTAGTCGCAAACCCTGTTCAAAAACGGTTATAAAATAAGGAAAAACTACTTTATTCTATCAACTTCTAAAAAAATATTTTTTTTTTTATGCTTAACTCTTATGTTTGCTTAATTTGATCGGTTTAAAAGTTATTAGCTTATAAGTATTTTACTTTTTAATAATAACTTGTAATATTATGCTTAAAATATGCTTTGTTTGATTATACATTTCAACATGGCTTGAAATGCTGTTTTTAAAAGTAACAAGTAAAAATTTAAACAAGTTAAATTGTAAACTACAAGTAATCTAGCACGAAAAAAAACGATTTTTAAATGAATNTTATACATTTCAACATGGCTTGAAATGCTGTTTTTAAAAGTAACAAGTAAAAATTTAAACAAGTTAAATAGTAAACTACAAGTAATCTAGTACGAAAAAAAAGCGATTTTTAAATGAATTTAAGGAGAAAATTGCAAAATAATATGAACTTTAATTTTAAAAAAACTTTTTAAGCAACATTATTTAGTGAATAAATGTTTTAAAAAAATTATCCATTATTAAATTTGCAAAAATATTCGCATTTCATCTGAAGTATCATTTTGTTTGTTTCACGAGTTTTTCGGAACATGTTGTACAATTTTCAGTTAATGTTAAATTAAAGGACTATAAAACAATATCATATTTGTCATAAAACTTTTTCTATCTTTTTATAGCAATAATACACAACTTTTATGCTTTCAGTGTCAATATTAGTGCTTTGCTTTAAATACTTCTTTATCTTATGAATGAAGTGTTTTGAGCTTTAAATAGTTCATAGTTTTCACTTCTTTCCGGCATATTATTGTCACAGGCATATCTAAATGCACTTTTGTTCCTACATTTAAATGCCGTTTTAAAAGTAAAGCACTTTTTAAAGGCGAAAGAAAACTAAGTGTAACTCGTTTATTTTCAGTTCAGATTTCTTTAATGCACACAAAATAATAATAAAAATTGCAACAGTTACCACAGGAGATACTATCAGAACTTTCAATAAAAAATGAAAAAAGAAAACAATAAAAATAATTTGTTTCTTTAAGAAAAAATAATAACTTCTGATTTAAAAGTTAAATGCTTTTTAAATATGAAGAATTTCCAGGCATGGTTGATTAATTTTGAAATAACATTTCGCTGATATAAGTGAAAAAGTCGAAATCTAGGTAGCTGTTATCACAAACATTAGAGAGATAACCGTTACTTTTGAGAAAAGTTGGTTTTGAAAGTTTCATGTTGCTTGTAGAAGATATTAATTTTCACTTAAATACAAACGAAGGTATATTCAAATTGAAGATAATTTAATGTAAAATTTAATAACAAAAACAGAATTAAAATATTTGTATTGCAAAAAAAGTTACGCTGATTTTAGTGGAGCAAACAAACACAAATCGTTTTGAATAAGGACGTGTTTTGTAATAAAAGTGTACTAGCCAATCACAAACTCTTTTCTTAGGACCAATCAAATGTCGGTAACTATAGTTTAGGTCATTTGGATGGTAAAAGAGTTATTGTTGTTTGCGTGATCTTATAAATGAAGCGTTCTTAATAATCAATATTTTCTCTTCATGTTAACATTCCAGCAATCGAGCAAGCCTCTGAGAAAAGCGCCACAATAACGGCATGCCTTTTTCTTTCTGGGTGATTTCACCTACACTTTTAAAAAATCCATCACGCCGGTTATATCCTTAGTTAATTGCTTTTTTTTTCGTCTTCTCTAAAAGTTGTATCGATTCTTATAATTCTGAAATTGCTATTTTATAACACGATACTATTTTAGCATATAAAACGATTTTCTAATGACTTAATTACTTAGATGTAATATAATTCATTTGTAATATACTTCATTTTGTGCAATAATGTCTGGTAAGAGTCGCAATCGTGTTGTTGGATCTTGCAACATCACAGATGTATCAAAAAATGTAAGTAAAGTAGCAAATTTATTTACTTGCGATTAACAAAACACATACTACTGAAAAAAAATTCAGTTATATAAGTTTAAATGATTGAATAAACCGCAATTCTTGAATAATTAAAATTTTAAAAATGATTATCTTTTGATGTCTTTTATTGCTGGAGGGCAGAGTGGTTAGCGTGCCTGATTGTGAAACCAATGGCTGCCGGTCCGTATCCCGCTCAGGGCATGGACGTTTATCTGTGTGTGTAGTCATGTGTTGTGTTGGATGTATGAATGTGGCCCACCCTATGAACGGATATCTGTGGCGTTGTTTTATGTTGCCCGCCTCCATTACTTTTGTCAAAAGGTGTTCACCAGGCAACAAAATGAGTGACACTTCCTTCCATGGCAAACAGAGATAAATTCAGTGCTGTTAAAAAAATTATTGAAGCTAGAACGATATTCTTTTTAAATTTTAAAAAAGTTATTTAGTTCTGTTTTTTTCTGTTACCCCTTTAGGTGATTTGATCAAAATTGTTTTTGTTATTTTAATCTGTTTGACTTTTCCAATAAACTCAATTTAATAAATATTTACATTATCTCCTTAAGCAAATACATACATATTATGTAAATGTTATATTTCTCTGTTATTTACGTGGTTTGCATGACTTTCACTGATATGACTAACAGATAATCATTGATATNTGTATTTAAGTGAAAATTAATATATTCTACAAGCACAAAAATTTGAAAAACATGAAACTTTCAAAAAATGTCCACACTTTTGGCCACCACTGTATATATAAGTTGATTAAGTTAAAGCTAGAGGAGGGGTACGACAAGCTATAGTTTGTCTAAGCTACGAACTCCTCCAGCCGCAAAGTCTGAAGCCGTCTGGTGCCATGGAAACAAGAAGGGCGTTTTAGGGAGGGTAGCATCACTCTAAGACTAATACAATAGACCAGGGGTGGCCAAGCTCCTTAATAGTCGAGCCATTTCTCAAAATTTGAAATTTTTCGCGAGCTGCAAAATACGTATTTAAAAGGTATGCAAAAAGGGTACTAAAATTTTTTTTGTGCATAGATTATATTTATTGAAAACATATTTAAAAAAGTAAAACTACAAAATATGTGTATTGAATTTAAATATTAAAAATTAAACACATTTATTTTACTTCTCTTGATAATTCTTAACAATTTTGTGAATAATTGGTGGCAGCACTTCTCAGTAATTCTTTGAGATGCTGGTTAGTTAATACTGATCGGTGTTTGGATTTCTCGAATTTTAAAGTGGAATAAAATGATTCAAGTACGTTGTTCCGAATATTGAAATAATTTGACAAGCAGCCTTTTTTTAATTCAGGATACTTCGATTCTGGTACAAATTTCCAAAATTCAATAATCGACGTCGACTTATATTTTCATTGTAGAGCTTGATCTTCTTGCATCTCTATTAATTCTAATTCTCCAGATGCTTTTCACGTCATAATTATATTAGAAATGGAAAACTCACCTTGACTTGAACAACGTTGCACTTAGTTTTTCATATTTGTTCTCAGTAATTTAAAAGACATTTTGGAACACATACGGAATTATAATAATTTTTTTAAATATGATAGCACCAAAATGAAAAAGGAACTCGGGTATATTTATCGAGAGCCACAAATAATCCTTTAAAGAGCCGCATGTGGCTCGCGAGCCGCAGGCTGCTCACCCCTGCTATAGACCGAAGAAAGAGATTCTCTTTCTCTCACCGACTCGAGCCAAAACCACTTCAAAACAGTGACCTCGCATCCAAACCTGAAGTCGTCATACCTCGTTACCATAGTCACCGCCATGAGTCCGGACGAATATCTGGAGAGTTTTTATTTTTAGAGTTAATCCAGATAACCGGATAGAAGAATACTAGACGAGAAATCCACTAGACAAGAAAAAGAACCACTTTATTTTTGCGTGACTTTATTGATATATTCATGGTGTCCGTGTGGATATTCATTGCTTTTTATTACACGTAGAAAAATTATTTTTAGTTCAGATTATTATACATTTACTAAAGATTCATAGCCGATTAAATAATTAGGATTTAGTCCATTAGTTATTCTGTTTTCGTTTCAGTAATCTCTGCCGTCAGCGTAAGACCGGGTTTACCTCAGTCTTGCCCCATGAACCTTAGTCTTACCTTAGTCTTGCCCAATGAAATCTTGATCTTGGTGAACATCAGCACCCTCTGTCTTACCTGGTGTCATCTTTGAGTGTTTATCCTTTTCAGAGAAACTTAGGTTTACCTTAGAACATTTTTAATCTTAGAGGCACTTAACCTTGAAAGGAGGACACTTGAACTTTCAGTCGACTATTTTAATTATTCCATTAATCTTATTTTGGTTTTATTTGTATTTAATGTGATTTTTCATATTTTTACCATTTGATGTTTTACCTGACCTTACTTTCATATGTTTTTATATGTATTTTTGACACTTTTATTGTTGGTTAATTTTATTCACTTAGAAGCATTAAGCACTTTTAATTTTTATTCTGTTTTATTTTTGCCATCTTTTCGATTTTGGGATTTTTCCTGTATGTATCAATCTTTTTAGTTTTGATTCACGTGACAGCGGGTGAAGCCCTTATCAGCAAACTCCTTCGGGGATAGGTCGGTTACTATTAGTCTTAGTCTTTCGCCCCCCCCCTTGATGTGTATCTTCCCTTGACACACGAAAGATTCAGGTCAGCGGCAGACGATAACTATATAACATTAAATTACATCCATAATATTTTTAAATTATCGTAAGAAATTAAAATGATGCTACGTTTTCACAGAAATTCTAGTACGCCTAAATTTCTCAAAGAGTTATCTCTAGAAGTTAATTCACATGCACCTTATCTCTACCCCACTAGAAGTGTTAGATAGGGTGATTCTGCTTCTTCTAGAAAAAAAAACTCATTGATAAAAAAAGTAATACATATATGACTTTTTAAGAATGATATATTGTACACAACTAAACAATGGATATCTTAATTAAATTTGACATTTTTTTAGATCGAGCTGTTTAACTCCAGCAGAAATTCGAATTTCATTTACCCGGTTTTACTATACTTTCTTCTGCATACATTATGTTTGCATGTGTATAAAAAGAATTTCGCAGAAACGTATGTAATTATGATGTAGTTAGATATCTTTTTTTATTATATTCATTGGAATTAAAAAAATTTTAAATAAAAAAAGACTAATTATTTTTGTTTGAACTTTTTCAAAAAAAAAATTAGGATTTAAAACTAAAGATTTTTTTTGACATTACATTAATGTTATTTTTACTCTTTTCCCCCAATAATGAAGAAAAAAATATTACTGAATTTAAAAATGAAACGAACTTCAGTAACAGTATTCGGTTTTTTTTTCATTTACTCGTGTCCACTTCTAACGAAAATAAAAGTAATATTCTATTTACTCACCAGCCATCCTCGAAAGAACTTTCTTTCTGATTCTACCTATTCTGATCGTTCTGATTATACTTCAATTCTGATCATTCTGATTCTAGTGAAATTTCCTCGGTTACAAATTAACAAAAATAAATAAATAAAAAATAATTTAGCCAATGCAGTTTTGTTACTACCAAAAGTTTATCCAAGTCACTTGAACTTTAGTTAAACTTTAGTTATCACCTGGATATATTTCTAATAAGCCTAACCTGAGAACCAAACTCTTATTTAAATATCAATTTTAGCAGCGGATATCTTAATCTTTTGTAAGTCTTTTTTTTATTCTATATAATATTGAATATCAGAAAGCTGTTTATTTTTAAAATTGACATTTTTTCTCTTAACTTAAAACAATTTAATTGCAGATAAAGCCGCACGTGATGAGTTTGATGCATGCTTAAAGCTGGTACCAGATGATGTAAGATTATTTTTTTAAAGTTGTCTGAGTATAAAAACAAATTTGGAGAAATAGATAACTTTTTACCTCTTGAATCTTAATATTTTGAAGTCCCCTTGATAAAATCTAACTTGTTGACATATTTAAAAAATTGTAACTCATATCAATGCAAACATTATATTTTGCAACTGCAAATTCTAAATTCATAGCTCATACTCAGGTAGCACAGTTATCAGATTGCAAAAAAAAATGCTACAGTCTCAGTGACAGGTATGTTTTGTCCACAGTTTTGTCTCGCACAAGGAACATGTTCAGACAAGAATCTATCACATGGTGATCCTGCTGAAACTCGAATATGTCACAGTTTTCACACTAGCATCCTGTTGAGACGTGAATATTTCCCGTTTTTGACGCAAGATGAAATTCCTGCGACAAATAAAGGTCTCATTGTGGTATCATGTTGACATCTAGGTGACGTTAACAAAAAAGGACAAAGTAACTTTTTTTAGACTTCAAGCCTTGATATATATACTTTCTACATCTCAGTGTAGATCTTTGGCATCGTTGAAACTGTACAAAGTAAGGTGAAAATAATCGAAGTTTTGTTGCACAAACACAAAACATTGAAATTGTCGGCAAATCACTTATGAAGAACTTCCTATCTTGACGTCAAAAAAAAGAAAAAAATGGCGATCTAAGCAGCCTTGAATGTTGGAGGCCTAACTTCCTCTCACGCAAGACTTACTTAAACGTTGTAATTTATATAGTTTTTTTCTCATTTTTCCTTTTCTCTTATTTTTATGTCACAATGGAAATTACAGTAAAGGGTTCTTATAAAATTTATTTATTTGTACATTTTACTGCCCCCTTTTTTAAAATTTCGCATGGCGAGCTAGTTCAATCCTGGGGAAGCAACCCCAGTAGCCCCCATTAAATCTGGTCCTGTCTCAACAATAATGTTTTTAAATGAGACAAATTTTATCAAGATTGTTACAATGAAATTCGCTAGAAACTTGAAATTTTAAACGTGATTCTTGAAGAAAATATGAACCTATTCATCTATCTTAGAAACGGAAAAAAATTACATTCAAATTATTTCTTCAAAATAGCAATATTCTAAAAAGTAATGAAATAAATTTCTTTCAATATTGCTCTTTAATTTGAATTCACATTTGATAGCTCTATTCTTGAGACTGTGAATGTTGGAAAATAGAAAATTTGTACCGAAAAAAATGCTTTTTTTTCGTAGTCACATAGAGAGCTAATCAGAACTATTTAAACGGGTCACATCCGTGAGTGTGTGTTGTTGTGACCATTTGTGACTTATTTGATTCATATAATTAATTTTTAGACTTTCACAGAAAACAGCTTACGTCAATTTTAAATTACTGATGATACTTTAGTGATACCAGTAGCATGAAATCAATGAAATAAATTCGCTAAAAACTGATTATAAAAACAGAATAAGAAAAATCGTAAGAAATTAACCATAATTAAACAGGTCGTGAAATGCTTTCCTTACGATTTTTAGGGGATCAAAGTTGCAACAAAGTTACAAAATTGTTTCTCAGTCACTTTAGTCCCAATAAAGTATGCTTGTGACTTCCAGTTGGCAAAAGTCACAATAAGTAGTCAATGAGACTCTCATGTGTTATCACACGATACGGTGACATCAAAGTAACATTATGATCTCTTTGGAGTAATTTAGAACGATGACATTTGTGACTATGATTGCATTTACCATTTACGACTTTAATATTACATGACTGTGACAGGTCTGAGAAATCGCGGTAAAAAAAAGTGCAAAAACAAAGTGTTGCATTGGAAATCTCTTGAGTATACAGTGCGCATGGGAAAGAAAAAAACCCACCCTGCATAACTTTTGATTTAACAATTGGATCTTCGTGCACTAGAAATCATTCTAAATGGCTCGAGGGAGTGACCTCAAATATGCTAATTAATTAGTGCAGAAGATATTTTAAGTAACAAAATCAGACATATTAATGTCCTTTTTCAGAATAAGCATTCCTTTTTTTCATTGATTCGAGTTCCTAATCCTAAAAGTATAGGGGATAGATGCAATCAGGGAAATGTGGTAACACTAGTTCGGTCCATAGCTCGGTATAAAGTTTTGACCCTTTATATTTATCTGACGAAGGGAAGGGTGTGATGCTTTAGGCTATGTAGACTAACGCAAAAATCACCTGGAAGCACAAATGAAAATACATGAATTGACTTATAATAGTTTCAGTTCTATAAACAAGAAACTTCGTCAGAATCTAAACACTGAGAAAGGCATTACACAATGAGGAAGATCCTCGTTTATGGAACTGAAAGTATTCCATCTCAATTTATGTACTATACTGTACTATTTAATAATTAACTGATAATTTAGAGCGTACTCATTTTTTTTAAAGAAAATGAAGAAGTTTATAAAGGCTCTGTCAAATTGCGCCAAAATAGAATGGCCAGACGTAGAAGCTACATATATTGATTTCTGTGTCATATGGATCGTGAAAAGTTACTTGGTTTTGAGAATGTAAAAATCTTCTAACATGTAAATTATTAAGAGTGCTTATCTTTTTTCTCTCGGTTCACTGTACTATTTAATAATTAACTGATAATTTAGAGCGTACTCATTTTTTTAAAGAAAATGAAGAAGTTTATAAAGGCTATGTCAAATTGCGCCAAAATAGAATGGAAAGACGTAGAAGCAACATATATTGATTTCTGTGTCATGGATCGTGAAAAGCAGGTATGGTAAAAAAAAGTGTCATCTTGACAACAATTCATAAATTTTATTCTTACAAAACACTGTAAAAAATCCCTGATAAAATTACGATAAAAAGAACCGGCAGTTTTAGAACATCATCCGTTAACTTCATTTTACCGAAAAGTCCATTTTTGCGGTAAAATATTATACTGTAATATGTAACTAATTAGAGTGATTTGATGATTTTATTGAAATTATCAAAGTGAAAATTGCGGTATTTCAGATTTTTTGTTCCGTAACATGTTCCGGTAATAATTGATTTTTTCCGTAATATCGTTCGATTAAAAAATATTTTACGGTAAAAAATACCGGCTCTCTGAGTGCCTGAGTGCTGTCTGAGTCTGAGTACTGTCATTAGATCAGGAATTTTTAACAGTGTTGGGAACTTTTAAGAGTGCCAGTACTTTTTTAACTTAAAATCCATTTATACCTGAACATATTAATAACAAAAATCTGATAAGATCTGCCTAACCGACAGTTTCAGCAGCACGTTGCCCCAAATGCTGTTTCGAAAGATGATTATTTAAAAAGTACATAAACATGATTTGATTTGAATTGATACCTACATATACAAAGTCTTTCAGCCGCGGAACAAGTCTAGAAATAACTTCCTTCATCAAATTGATTGAAAAGAACATAGGAAATTTATTGGAAGTTCAACATTGTCCTAAGAAATCCAAGTGGATAGTCATTTAAGAGTTGATTAGTTATTTCAATCTGAAATGAAATATAGTTGCACATTTTTTTTAAAAAATAAACCAGAACAGTTGTAGCAAACATATTTGGTATTTTATTTATTTAAAAGTAATATAAATTGTAAACTTGTTTCTCCAAAAATGAATAATTAAAACGGCTCTTTTCATTTTGATAAAAAAATTTTAAGAGAAAAATATTCGAAAAATACAGAAGCACTTTAAAATTTATATCCAGTTTGGGACATTCTGTGCTCCTTCCATCGAGAAGTGCTTCTGAAATAAGTGTTTCGTAAGATTTCAGCAAAATTTCCTTAAATATATATATGAATGGCCAGACGTAAATGCTAC